TGTTGGCACAGATGCACAAACAGATACCAAATGTATTTGAAAGAAATAACTAATCTTGCTGCTGCGTGGCTCTAGTTATCCAAATACTTCATTGAGATTGAATAGAAACATTAAATATCACCTGGTGAAGTAAAACTGTCTCTAACTAGGGTTGAAAATGTATTGCATTGTATCTTATGTTTCATTAAAATGTGTACATAATTTAAGCTCCTAAATAAGATTTAGTAAAATTCCGTTTCTACTTGGAAACCTTCATGACAATTATACCTTGACTTTTCAGTGTCCTCCTGCAGCCTTCCAAAGTCAGAAGTTGTGCTTTTCCTTCTTTCATGTCATATTTGTACTCACAAGCCCTTTTCTGATACATCATGTTTACATTTTCCTTCCAGTCACTCCAAGGCCACCCAGAGCTCCCTAACTTGGCCAGAAAAGGTGGGGAATTTTGTTAGGGTTTTTGTAGTGTGGTTGTGTTCAGTTTACATGATGCAGTGTTGTCCTCAGGATGTAATGGTCAGTTTGACCTCTTCACAAACACCAACTATGTGAGAAAACACTTTATAAGCTGTGAGAGGATTCTCGGTGGCTCTCAGGAGAGTGGAAGAATTTTCCTTGGCTGGCAACAGTGAGGACTAGACTGCACTGCTGACTGTAGTGGTGTATGAAGAACAGCCTTGTAAGCAGGAGAGGTCACCATAGACTGGGCTCAGTCACTGGTTTTCCACATCTTTTTATTTCATTTCCTTTTATGAAAACCTGAAATTTAGGTTGCTGCTGACACACCTCCACATCTTCACTCTTCAGACTGAAGGAGCATGCACTGTTCTTGGGCTGTGAGCAAGGTCTCCTGGTTTCACAGAAGTTGTGGTATCTCACAGGGCATAGAAAGAAGAGGATGTGTATTTTTTGTTTTGATTGTGAGAGAAAGGATATTTTGGTGTTTTTTCCACAGATGAACAGATGGAAATGGAATGGAAATTATTTTCAAGGCATGTATGTATTTGAGTTATGATTCCTTATTTTAAATTGTCAGGGCTACTAATAATTGTAATGCATCTAGGACAAAATACGGTGTTTCTGTAATTTTTGGTTGAGACACAGATGATCAAAAAATAAGGAATGCCTTGAAACCCAAGATTATTTTTTTGTTGTTGTTCTTTCTTGTTGTTTTTTTTTTTAATTTGGTTGTTCCTTTTACTGGATAAAAATCAAGTTTTTATTTCCATCAGTACTCTTAGGATTTTGTATCAGGAGGAAAAAAAGTTTTAAAATCTTGTGTCACATCTTTTTCTATATGGTACAGTATTTGTCATAAGACATTAACTTCAGTAAATCACTTATTTAGTAATTGCTGTACAAAGGAACACTTTTAAATTTGCTCTTTTTCTGATAGCATTAAAATTCCCAAAGGAATTTTGTAGCCCTTCATTCTCCACAGCTACCTGAAAGGAGTTTTAATGAGGAGGAAATTAAAGGATGATTGGAAATGTCCTTAAATTGCAACATTGAGGTTCAGATTAGATATTAGAAAACAAAAAACCTTGACTGAAAGGTATTAGACATTGGAATAAGTTGCCCAGAGAAATGATAGGCACCATCTCTGAAAGTGTTCCAGAGGCATCTGTGTGTGGCACTTGGGGTTTGGGGATAATGTTGGTGGTGCTGGGTTAGCAGTTGAACTAAATAATCTTGAAGTTCTCTTCCAAACCTGATGATCCAATGATTCTATTAAATATTTTTAATCAGGTGCTGACTTCCTCTTCTTGCACGTATGAGCTCACCATGGAAAATGAAATTGTTTATTATTAATCTCAAAAAAAATATTAATAATACACCTTTGATATATTTCTGATAGATCAGTAGCCTGACTCATTGAAAGATTAAAGGATTAAGGCACATTGTGCTTTTTATTTCAAAGACAATTTTACAGTAGAAGGAAGCAGAAATCACCAGTTTAACTTTTCAGACAAAATTGTTGCATCAGTAGAAAAATATAGTACTATTTAAAAGAAGGACAGTTTCTGTTGTTACTTGGAGCTGCAGGACTGATTCCCAGGCCTCCCACTGCCCTGTTGAAGACACAAGCCCAGTGGGATGTGAGTGATATGAACTGTATAGCCAGGAGCTAAAGAATAAAGTAAAATACTGCTTTCTTTATTATGAAAGGTTATGATCAAAGTAGCTCTGTGTGTTTCCATCTGTATTTTTCCAGACTGTGTTAAAATAATTTTTTTACAAGACTCCTCCAGTGATTTAAATGAGCAAGGTTCATCTCGCACCTTGCAAATTTTTGTCATTGTCGCCTTGTAGATAGAAATATTTCTGCCCTGAAAGATCTGTGTTCTGCTGAGAAAGTATCTTCTCCTACTGGGAGATGTGGCTTAATTAATGTTGCTTAGGATAGCAGAGTATCACTGCCTTGAATAATGTCATTTCACCTTGGATTTCCATGATTGGAAAAAACCCAGAAGTTCCTGAGCACCTAAACATACCTTACTGTAGGTGTGTTAAAGTTTTGTAATGACTAGCACACCTCAGGCTGACCTTTCTATCGCCCACTTTTTGGCTGAAAACCGATTTCACATCTCATGGAGTGACTGGGTGCTGCAAATGCACGAGGACACTCCAGCAGCTGGAATACAAATCCCAGCAGTGGTGGTAAACAAAGCCTGGGAAGGGACAGTGCTTCTACTGCAGAGAAAGCCTCATGCTTCTGGTGTCAGGAGCGTGAGGTGCATGTCCTTGTGTGGCAAAAGATGGTAGGTTTCTATGAAAGCTCACCTGGCCTTTGTCTTCAACCTTGAGTTATCAGCAAGGAGTGGGGAAGATTAGATTAGAGCCAGTCTGGTTGTTTCAGTAATCCTATATCAGTGTAGCCTACAAAGAACACTAAAAATCTCTTTTTGAATTAGTATCAAATGTTTACTTGTTAAAGCTGCAATTTCAGGATTTTCAATTCCAAATGAATTTACATTGCTTTTATTATATAGATGTTTCTCTGGCCATGTGAATCAAATATTGTTTTCACAATTACAAGAAGGTCCTGGTTGCACTTTTTTGTTGGGTATTGATACTCACCTCAGGGAATATTTTCTGGCTCACCATATTCATTGCTCTTGCAAAGAAATGGTAAGTTTCTTTGTTGGGAGCTAATGTCCATTCACCTTTGTATGAGAGTGAGAAAAGAGGTAATGTTCTTAGCTGGGTGTTGCTACAGATTTTTAAGTCTTATGTAGGTGTACTACCCACCTTCCATCTAACCTATCAAGGGCAAGCCAACTTAGACATAATTTAAAGTATTGTCAGGGCAATATTTCAGATTTTTTAAAATCCAAGCAATTAATTGATTCATTGCAGGTCTTTAGGTTCTTATGAAAGCAAAAAATATATATCACTGAAAAGACCTCTGGTGGTGTCTGTAGTTAAAGCACAATAAGCCTTTAAAGAAGTGCAATTTGTAATTCATGTTAAAAAATACTGTTGGGATGATGGGAGAGACACATTGCATGTCCAATCTATGCATCCACAGAAAGATTTCTTAGTAATCATAGTATGCAGAATGGGGGTTAGCTTCAGCTCAGAGCCTTTAATGTCAAAATTCAGGTCATGACCATAAATAATCTGGTATGTATTTAAAGCAAACCCTGCATATACTGTGGGGAGCAGGGGAAATGGATTGTTTGTATCCCAGTTGGCAATTTTTATGTTTTCTTTAATGGTTCCTCACCATGTGATTTACTTCCTAGCCCAGGGTCTTCTGGTGTGCTTGTAAAGTTGGATTCACATAAGTGTGAGACAGAGTAGGAATCAGAAATGTGCTTTAAAAGGCTTACAGACCCAATGGGGATGTAATGAGGTTGGGTGAGAGAACTGAAGTTCTGGGAAGAGCTTTTCTCTGATGAGGCCTCAGATGCAGATGCTGTGGCTGGAGACCTGTACCCTGCCCTGCCTTGCCCTGCCCTGGGAGAGCAGGGGGTGCTGTCTATATTTTCCATGCTGCCAAGAACATCTGTCTTGTGGAATGTTCTCTATCACATTTTATTTACTTGATAAAATATGCATTTGTTTAGTTGTTGGTTTGGTATTGATTTGTATACCGCCTATAGCATTGTGAAAGCACATATCTAAATAACAATGAAGATTGATTCTGCAGAGGTGAGATCCTTCCATCCTTGCTTTTGTTGTCTCACCTATTTTTAGCACTGTATGTCTCTGGAGCGGGTGTGTCTGCTTGCAGAGTAAGGCTCTATTAGATTAAATAAAGATAATGGAATTCAATCCCACATGCTTATTATTGTGCTGAAGTAAAGCTATAAATGTAATGCAGTTCCTCTGGCTTCAGTAGCTATGCCTAGTCTTTGAAAAATGATAAATAGCTTCTAATTTGATGAATGATATTTCATGAAAATGATAAATACTTTTTAATAACCCCTTTTCTCAGTAGGGTTTGCGCAGTTCAGTTCTGAAAATCTGAGAAGTTTACAGAATTGTAACCAAAAGTGATGTATGTTATAATACTGAGTGAGATATACAAATTACAGTTATTGAATGCAGCAGAATGTAAAAAAAGGAGGGGGAGGGGACCAGGTAATAATTGTTGTCTCAATTTTATTTATTCTGGATACTTCAGGTTTTCTTCAGGGTGTATTTAGAAAAAAGAAGAATCTGAAAATAATCTTCTGAATATTTAAAATGTTACTCAGTATGAAAGCTGATTAATGTGTCCCATTTTGAATCATACAGTAATTTCAATATAATAATTGTGGGGTTTGCAGCAAGGAGGAAAAATTGCTTTGTGCATTCTTGGACAAAATAAGTTTTTATTTCCCCTGCTGATATTTAGAAGTAGATGAATGGACCAATAGATGACTTTTAAGATATTTTTTATAGCTTCAGCACAACTCTTTGACCCTGAGACAACTATAAAAAGTATGAGATAAAGAAAATGGTTGCTAATAGAGAAAGGAAAATACAGTATTTTTTTTTTCTTTCCTCCCCCACAGGACATTAATGTATGTATCCTTGAAAACTACCCTGAATGTTCCAATCCCAGGTTATTTTACATCATACCATATTTCTGTGGACAGCATCCAAGATGCAGGTAAATATATGCAAGGTTTTCAATTTGTTCAGCAATAGCTACTGCCAAGATTTTGTCAGAAATTGGTAATAAAGAATGGCATTATTTGAAGTACAAGGGAAAAATAAAAGTACAGGGAATATATCACTGTTTGTGGTAATTGCATGCATATATTTTGAAGTAGGGAGGGCATGGCAAATGTAGCACTATTCTTTTTTCTTTATTTATAGCATGAATAATTCATCAAATATGAATGTATTTATGTAGATTTTTTTTTCTGGGTTACTCATTTTATCTGCACTGTAATTTTGTAATACATGTTTTTGATTTACTCAGACGCTTGTATCAGGTCTATATGAGGAATACATGTTTCTGTGTCCCTGTAAGAAACCAAATTCATGCTTAAAACTATGTAAAATGCAGTCTTCTACTGCTTTAATTGACCTACCTCATTTTTAACATCTGTGTATGCCATTCTAATATTGCCACATTACTGATACCAGAGTAAGTTTTTTGTGCAATAATATAGGAATAATTTTAAATACTTTCTTGGTTTAAAATACTTCTGTATTGTTGGTAACGAATGTTCTTTATTAGGTGTGTTCAGCTTCAAGGTGTTCTGTTTCTGTATTATTCAGGCTTCTCCATTATGAAACAACTGCACATTTTCCAGAATTTCTTTGAAAAGCCATACTTCTTGTAGCAGTAATAACAAGTGAAAATGTGTTACTTCTTCTGTCTTAATTTCTAAATATCTATGTTTTAAAATCCTGCCTTATTTTTTTCTGGTGAAGAGAGTTTATGTATAAGAAACAAAACACTTTCATTACAAAACAGATTAATGACTTAATTTTCATTTTACTTTCTATTTAACGTATTTTTGCCTTATTTGCAAATGCTTATGATCGCACATTGCATGTGCGAGTAATCCCATTAACAACAGTCACATGCGTGAATACTTTCACAAAATCTCTGTGAGGTTCCCAAGCAGAATATTGAAGTACTGTTTTGTACCTTGTAGATTTGGCTCGTGTCATGCCCTTGCAGTTCCTTCAGCTACTTCTTAGTCCGATAAGGAGCTACAAGCAGGAGGCTCATAGTGTTTGTGAGGACACTTTGCTTTTCCAGAAAACAGATCAGTGCACAGAAGGTGGTAGAGCATGAAAAATCTGCTACAAGTCTGTTCTAGCAGAAGTGGAAAGTAGTCAGCTTTTCCACATGACACGGAAAGAGCTTCAGACAGATGTTAAATTCACTGTTGCATAGGGTCTGCAATAACCTAATGAGGTCAGGGAAAAGGTGTGATTTACAGCTACTCCTAGGCAGTGTGGGAAACTGATTTCCTTTAGCTTGGGACCCCTGGCATTATATTCCATGTCAGTATGAATGATGGCTGCTGCTCCCAGAACATAAGTAATATGAATTATTATACGGAATTTAGGATTCATATGGCTGTCTAACCACATCGTGCTTTTGGGAAACAGAGAAGCATAAAGATGTAGTGAAGTCCTGCCAGCTTCTCCTGCTGGGAAAAAAGACAGAAGAACCCTCTACTGTTCTTCAAAACCAGTATCAGTCACAGCAAAAAAATGCAAATCCTGTAGCAAAGCTGCAAGGCAACCAGGGGTAATGAAAGGGAACAGAACACTCCTGGAGACTTTGGCAAAAGTAAAAATGAAGGACAAAGTGGGAATGGTTGTGTCCTGTGTAGGATTTACTGAGTAACAGCAGGCAGTGGTTGGTCCCAACAGTTCTCCTGATGTAGCTCAGGGACACCACCACCCCTCAGCACCTTCCAACATCAAGGGCAGTCATTCTTCCTGTCAGACGGGTTGTGCTTCCAAAATGAAATACCAAAGTTCATAAGTTTGAGCTTATAAACAATTTGGCAAAAGATATTTTCAGAATGGAGTACTTTCACACAGTGATTAGCCTCCTTTTAATGTGATCCTGTTTTTACATGCCAATCCAATTTTTGATGTTGCGTGAAAAAGCTCAGTAAGCTACTCAGCTTTGGTAGGGGGACTTTTTTTGTCCTAAGTATAGCACTGAATGTATTTTTTATTCACTTGTGTTCTTGGTTTGAATTTGAGAAGTAAATGCATATTTAAACTTTTCTTTTTCCCTCCTCCGTCTTCCCCCATCCATTTCATACAGGGAGCCTGGTGAATGGGCCCTTGAAAGAGCAAAGCTGAACGTTAATGAAAATTTTCTGCTTGTGGGCATTCTGGAGGAGTTGGAGGATGTGCTGCTTTTATTAGAAAGATTCTTACCTCATTATTTCAAGGATGTGCTTAGCATCTACAAAAATCCAGGTAACTTTTTCCATTAAAAAGCTATTCTTATGGAAACTTCAGCTAAATCTGCATAGCTGCTGAAGGGTACGTGTTTCTCTCTTGTCCAGCCAATGAAGAAGTTTTTCTCCCTTTTAGGGAGCAGATTTGATGATAGGGGAAGGTCACATATTCCACTTGTATTGTTAATGTTACTGTGTGATTTTCTTTCCTTGCAAGCACTTGTTGCTGAGTGATCTTCCCACATGCCAGAAAGCTACCCATTTTCCACTGGAGTGGTTTCTTCTTTTAATTGTGTCATACTCAGTTCTCAAATAATACTGTCAAAATATTGTGAAAATGATGTCAGCAATATGTACTTAAATAAACCTTCAAGAAATGGTTTGGGGAGCTGGACACTTGGAATATTATCCAGGACCAAGTTACTTATTTTCCCTCAGCCTTGACTATGAGTTGAAATAAAATGAACCTTCAGTTGAGCTGAGTTGAAGTAAAATTCAAAGACGAATGTGCATTTACAGTGCTTCCAATACAAGGCATGCTGAGGAAAAATACTTAGGAGATTGGAGTAGAGAAATCAAAATGGAGAGCACTCAGTCTACTCCCCCCATGGTCAGTCTGAAATCCATCCCTCCAACATTTATTGCTGACTTCTTTAAAAGGCAGTCTTGTGTCCTATTCCTAAAAATAAATATGATGCTTCTGGAGGGCTGTGCATGTCATTCCAGCAGAATTGATTTCTTGCTTGCATTTGACTGGCACATCAACTCTGTGTGCACCAAGCAGGGGGTAAAACTTCCCTTTTTCCTTTGTGACTCAGTTGCATTTTTGTCAGTGTGAAATGCCTACAGCCATTAATATGTGTATTTTGTACCAAGCTTTATATTCAAAGCACATGCAACAAAGATTGAATTTAGCTTCTGACTGAGAACAGCTATTACAGCTGTCAGTCACTTTGGAGAAATTATGGGATTCTGTCCATAACTGGGATTTGTGTGTAACTGCCCACCAAACCCTTCTTTGAAGATACATCTTTGGAAATTCTGTATTTAGCTGTGATACAGGTACTAGGGAAAGTATGGCATTCTTTCTCTGAACATGCTTGCAGTGGTCATTGCCTGCTTGCAATCAGGCAGTTAAGGCAGCTCTTTGGAAGGTGGGAGTGTAACTTTGTGGTGCCACATCCAGCCAATAGAGCAATTTTGCTTAATAACAGACTTGAGAGTATTGTACTGACATAAGAGCAATGCCCAATTTGGGATCAGGTATTTTCCTTATCTTTATAAATTAAAAAATACAAATACCTATGTTTGTAGTATGTGGAAGTGATCCTACAGGTTTGCACAGTTTGGTCTCAAAGGTTTCCTCATAGGGATGTTAAACAAAAAAAAGGCAGGGGGATCAATAGAAGGATATGCTCTCTCTGCCATGAGAGTTTTCTTTGAGTTTATATGACTTCTTCAGCTGTTCAGTGCATCATGTATTTTCACTTCTTTTACAATGAGGGAAGCTAATTAGCAGCACACAGGGTTGTGATTTTCATCATGGTGCCCTAGAAATTGTCAGGTGGGAAATAAGCAATCTGCCAGAATCATTAAGTGCTGGTTAATCTTTCTTGTATTTTCAAGTATCTGGAGAAAATTTGATCACCTGTTACAGGACAGTGATTTCCTCTGGGATTTCAAGTGAAAGACGGGTCTTGTGTCATGTCTAAAGATTCACCACTTTCCGTCAGTGTTCCCTGGGTGGATTAAACCTTTATTTTATCTTTCCCATTCATTTATTGACAGGGCATATTAGTAAGAAAACAGTTTCCGTAAGTTAACTCCTCCTCTTTTCATACATGCATATGTTTGAGGATTTTTTTTTCTATAATAATTATTTTCTGGTTATTTCTGAGTTGGTGCTAATGCTTACAGAAAAAAAAAACCCTTAACAGAATCAGCCAAAAAAAATACAAAATATTCAAGCAGTGTGTGTAAGAAATCCTACATAGTTCTCCTCAGGGCATCTTAGACCTCTGTTGATCTGCAACACCCTCTGCTGTTGCATATGAAGCATGTGGAAAAAGACCTGCTGTTCTGCCAGCTGTGTGGTGGTCACACAAAGCAGCAGATAACTTGGGCCAAAAGTGACCTTTTGTTACAACTAACACTTGCAGATTAAATCTATGAAGTTTACAGTATTGTCTGCTAACCTGCTGCTCCACTTGAGATTCTCTTATGTCAGTCTTTCCTCTTTCCACATGAAGAAGGAAAGCTTTTCTAGAATTTTATTTTTTGTCAGCTGCATGTAATAATATGAGGAAAACACAATAAAGAACATGTACAGAAAGGTGATTCACTTCCAGATCTGTGAATAACTGCACCAGAGTCCACTTGTAACAAGCAGTTCTATAATAATAATAATAATAATAATAATAATAATAATAATAATAATTCAGAAACTGGATTTGTAGAGCTGCCTTTAAGCAAAAAGTAGCTGAAGAAAGACAGTTTCAATTCAGTGTTGCTTTAGTGGATGACATAGATTAGAAATCACAGTAGGAAACATGTGGTTTCTGTCCCACCAACATCATTAATCTAAAACGTATTCAAAGCACCTTCCTGCTATAGGAAGCAAAATGCCTGATGTTATCAAACCCATAAAATCACATGTGCATTTAAGATACATCTGCAGGAGTTGTGGGTTAAACCCCTTCTTCCTGAAGTTGGGACTCTCTCATTACAGGTGCTTTGGATTGTCACCAGATCACTGTAGCTCCCATCTAAGCAAACTTTTTAGTATTGGAAACCTTTAGTATACGTTGATAATACAGAAATCAGGAAATTTAGAAACTTTTCCTCATCTCTGCTCCTTTGAACTGTGCAGGCCATATTCAAAGTTCTCTGTTTCTTTTGTGTCTGTAGTGAAATTTCTTATCTGAAGCAGTATAATAACATTTATCAAGAAACTCTAGCTCAGTGTTCTCTTAGGAGAAAACAATGCCTGTAGTTGTTTTACCTTCAAAAACATTTTTCTGCTGTTGTTCTGTAGCAGATCATTAAAACTGCAGCTCTATGATCAGATAAGTTAGTGTGGCATTTTCATCAGAAAGCTACTGTCTGTATACCTGATGACACAGGTAACTGCTTAAAGCAGTATGAATCGAGTGCTTTTCTTGCTGATGCTAATGATTTGTCTGATATAAGCTGGCAGAAGGAACCTGTGAAGAAAGGTAAAAACTTAAAAAAACTTCGCAATTCAGCATGACAAAAAATTTTGATGTCAAAGGACACTAGGAAGGTTTATTCCTTCATTGCATTAACAAAAAGGTTGCATTCAGCTATCCCATATGCCAAATATTTTGACTTTTGTGTTTTATAACCACACGTAATAAAATGTGAAAGCTCTTTGTGGTCCTAAAGTTTTCCTTGGAACCAATCTGGTTTTATCTTGTACAGTACTTTAAAGCTATGGGCTTCCTGGTATTCTGTGTCCACTCCTCCTTGAAAATAAGCATTATCTTAATACCAAGTCAAGAATTGCAAAAGGACTCTCTTTTTTGATGTCTATCTTGTCCAAATTTACAAATTTGTCTTGACAGCCATAACTGGCTTTGACAAGGGATTAAAAGGGCAGGAATGGGGGCAGCAGATTGTGAAATCAATAGATGATGAATAGATGGGTAGAATAAATTTCAAAAATATTTTTTGTTTTTGATAGCTTTCTTTGCTAACACAGTAAAATGTGCTCAAAATTTTGTCTTTTTTCCCCAGTGTTGAAGCAGATAGGATCCATTTGCAGAGCCTTAGATTATATTTATTACGGAATTTGAAAGTATTCTTTAACTCTTTGAAAGGCCTGAAATAGTTATAACAAACCTTGGCATGTAAAATCTCTCCTCACTCTCAGAGGCTGAAGGAAAAAAAGAAGTGGTCAGTCCTGTTCAATTTTGCTGGCTATAGCCCACTTCTGTAACCTGGCTGGTAGCCAGAACACAGAGAATACTTACACAGGTTTTTGGTTTTTTTAATGGACACACATGAGTTTCATATCTTTGGTGTTTTTAAGAGACAAAAATATACGTACTATACTCAGCAAAACAGAGTTTTCTTCTGTCTTGTCAACTTCTTGTGGCATGGGGTAAAATTTAACAGCATCCAGTGTAAAACAATAAGCAATTAAATGGTATTTTATCACCTCAGAAATAAGCCATATCCTCACACCTCTCTGTGGGAGTTCATAAATTTTCTTTGGCACCAGAAGCCCTATAAAAACATTTCTTCCCAATACCAGGAAAAAACCCCTTTGTTTCCTGAAAGGTGCATTTAGCATGGAGAATGTATAGGTCTTACTCTATAACAAGAAGACTGACTTTAAGCTTTTCAGACAGTGAATTTTATTGAGTGCAATGAAATAACTCACACTGTCATCTGAAAGAAAATATATTGTTTAAGTAAAGTGTAATTGTTTTTAAATGCCATGAAAATTTGGTTCTCTTAAGAATTGCATTTACAGGGAATGTTTTTAGCTGTAGTGGTAATATTATCCAAAGTAATATAAACCCTCTAATTTTTTTAATCCACTATGTTCATGAATGTAATGATACAGTCTTGACATTTTCTATTCATAAGTTTCCCCTTGTCTTCAAGCCCAGTAAGGAGAGAGATGCTGCCTATATTTGTCTTTATTGCAGAGCTGAGGTCCTGAGAAGCAGAGCATTTTTGATGGAGTTAGGAGAAGGGTGCAGTCAAGCTCAGCAGTCTTTGCACTGTGCTGAAGATCACTCCTGTGCCAGGCCAGCACTGAAGGTGGGACGAGCCTTCAGATGGTTCAGATGCCATTCATTTGGAAAAGTTCAGAAACCAAGGGGGTTTTCCCTCTGAGAAATTGTAGTGAATGTGTCTACAGGCACCACCTCCAAGAGCAAAAACTTGGAGTAAGAAATGATCATAGGACTCTGGTAGAAGGAGGCAGTGCTTTTTGTGGAGTGTCTTTAAACAGTAACATCTTATCTTATATTCTGCCTTTGTTCAACA